ATGGTTCGCTTGGCTGCCATCAAATATCCTCAGCTCGGCAGGACGGAGGTGCGACGGCGAGTTAGAGATGTTTGTGTTTGGTGTGTTGGTTTATAATAAATAGATAGCCATATAGATAATAGATGTTAGTAGATGTTTTTAATAGTTGTAAAAAATATAGATGTTAATAGATGTTAATAATCCATAGATCTGGGTAATTTTTAACGACCTCACTGTTCTCCCTCACTGGGAATGATGGTGAGTAGGGGGAACTATCCCCAAATGGCCGTAAGTTTCAGGTTTTAGTGAAATATTTTAATTTACCCAGAGTAGATAATCATACTTCACAGAGGTTAATAGATGTTAAAAGATGTTAATAGATAATGGTAGATAGATGTTAATAGATGTTACTGAAACTATACTAGTAGTTTGATATATTTACCATACAACCAAAGGATATTGGAGTTGTGTTCACCAACTTAGAGATTCAGAACTGGGGCACCGTCTTGTAGATATATCATGAATTTTCATGATGTATCTAAATAGTTCACGGGGTTATCAACTATTTGTAGCTGGGTTACCCTCTGGTTATTTAACATAGCCATGGAAAATGTTTCATAGAAATAGATGGTTTACCTGGGTTTATCTATTTAAAAAAATGGGTGGATCTTTCCATGGCCAACTGTTAGTCCTAACCAGATGGTATATCATGAATTATCATGATATCTATATATCTATCTATCTATCTATCTATCTGTCTATCTATCTATCTATCTATCTATCTATCTATAGTTCACGGGGTTATCAACTATTGGTAGCAGGATTAACCATAAAACATCTCAAAATTCGTTAGAACCATAAAGCTCACCATGGATGGTCTGATCCATCAACAATTTGGTGGTGCATCATATTGTGTTTGCCACATCAGCTGAGCAAACTTTGGATTTACGAATATTTACGATACATCATGATATAGTTTGGTATAGTATGATATAGCATGATATAGTAATGATATAGTATGATATAGTATGATATAGTGGATTATACATCAAGTTTTAACACGGGGAACACGGCCCTTTGATTGGACACTTGTTTATTTAAACACTAGTGGTTGACTATGATCTGGTCAAGCCTTGACAGGTTTAAACTCGTTGTTCCCGGCGTTGAACTCTCATTTGCCATGGAAGTGCACCATCACTGGCCCGGGAAAGCCAGGAGAGCCAGGAACATTTGTGATACTTGGCAACCCACTTGATAGTTGACAATGTTCCCGCATTTAATGGTCCGATGATGTTATGTCTGTCAATGATATACTATACTGTACCATTAAAAAGAAAACATGCAGTATTACGTTTTGCGGCTGATCTAAGATTAGCCACGAGTAGGTGGTTTTTGCGAAGATATGGGCACCGGTGAGTTTTCATTGCTAGACATCCATGACGTACCATGACCAGACAAAATCAGGCTGGCATCTTGGACCCAACTATCCAACAGCTAGAGACACTGGTTGTTTTAGCCACTTAGAACCACTTAAGTTACCTTCAGCGCTTCTGATGACTTGGCCCACTTGCTCAGAGTGGTGCACAGCAATGTCATGAAAGCTGTTTCGGTGGAAGGTGGCATCTCTCCTCAGAAAGCCGGTGAAGCTGCATATTGCAGCTGCGGTCGACAAGGAAAAGAAGGAGAAGATCAAGGCAAGCAAGAATGAGCTGTTCACGATCATTCAGTCGGAGTTCCCGCAGCACATTCAGTTCTTGAGCTCAAGCACTGTGGAGGCCCGGGAGCAAGTGGTCCAGCAAGTGGCTCAGCGCCACTCTGAGATCGCTAAGCGACTGGAGGATTTGAAGAGCCTGAAAGCTGGGAAGGCCTCGGTCCCTGCTGTCAGCCAGGACCTGGCCGCCTTGACGTCACTGATGCTGGCAATGCCCTCACGAAGAAGGTGGACAGGTTCAACAAAGCCACCTTTGACGAAAGTCCTCCGCTGGCGACAGGCATTCACAGCGAGATGTCCGCTGTCCACTTTTCCACCTCTTGCTTGTGGAGGCACCACCAATTCAAAACTGCTGTGCCGGGTGAACGCCTTGATGATGACCCAGTTCCGCCTTGAGAACCCTGTGGACATCAGCTGGCACATCGTTCTGGCACCTGATGGCGAAGATATTTGGCAATTGCCCGTCTAGTGGCTTGCGGGTCTGGTGGCTTGCCCCGGCCTAGTTAGTGTTCAATATTTTTGTGTTTTTTTGTGAATACTTGTCTTTAAATTAGAGCTTTTCATCACATCATCCCAGGAGCACAAATCTTTGCAGCTGCTTGCCCTTACTATATGATTATCAAGTTCAGTTCGTTAGATGCCTTGTTTCTATACTTTCATAATCTCTTCTTGCGTTGATGATTCAAATTTATGATCACCTGAATTTGATACGGAACACCGCAATTGGCCGATAGAAAATCTAAATAAATCTAATCTAAGAGAGCCACATGGGTGTTTCGCAAAATTGGGTACATCAAAACCAGTATCCCAGTTGAAAACGAAAAATGTGGCATAACTTTTAGGCCCAGCATTTTTGCCATGCACCATATGTTTGCAAAGCTTGTTGCAGATGGTTGATGGTTCAATTTCCATTTTCTCAGTGCACCAGTTCAGGTCCCATTTCTGCTGATTAACCAGCCCCTGTTTTTGTTGCATCTATCGACCCCTTGGCGAAATCACCAGCCGTTTCTGAAAAAGAAATCGGTTGACGAAATGCTGACGATGTTGGCGTTGTTTAATCACCAGGTTCTTCAAAGTGACCCCTTTGAGGTGGCTAAGCGGCCCTTTTTGGGCTTAAGTCGGGTTTTTTGTGACCTCGAATTGGTGGTTGAACCAGGTATAGATCTGCTGAGTCAATGATGTGTTGCTTTTTTCCTAATGGGACATCCACTTAGGAAATCTCGGGGCTTCTTATCGAAGGAAGTTTAGAAGTCAAACTTCCAACAATATGGACAGATGAAAAGCAGAGCAGGGAAGAGGCAGAGAAAAGAGGAAGATTAGAAGAAAGAAGAGTAGAAGAGAAAGAGTAAGAAGAAAGAAGATGCAGATGCGCGAAAAGGTAGGAAAGTAGCAAAACGCTGTGTTTTTCCAATGATTTGTGGCTCCAGAGGGTCGAAAAGTAGGCTCGCTAATGCGGCGGGTGCGGAGCTATGTGGTCAGGTGAGTGATGAAAAATTGCACGCCGTTGTGGCGCGAAGCACATTTCGAAGCCAAAATGTACAAAACAACTTAGCGCCGGACCACTTTTGGAAGTTGCGATGTCGAAAAAGTGCACGCCGTTGTGGCGCGAAGCACATTTCCAAATGAAAATGTACAAAACACACCAGGTGCGGACCACTTTTGGCAGTTGAGATGTCGAAAAAGTGCACGCCGTTGTGGCGCGAAGCACATGGCAGTTGAGATGTGGACAAAGTGCACGCCGTTGGGGCGCGAAGCACATTTCCAAGTCAAAATGTTAAAAACACTAGGGGTTCGGACCACTTTTGGAGGTTCAGATGTCGAAAAAGTGCACGCCATTGTGGCACGAAGCACATTTCGATGTCAAAATGTTAAAAACACTAGGGGTTCGGACCACTTTTGGACGTTCAGATGTCGCTTCGCTTCCCTTCACTACATTACACTACACTACACTCCACTACACTACACTACATTACACTAATTACACTACGCTCCACTACACTACAACTACAACTACAACTACACTCCACTACACTCCACTACACTCCACTACACTACACTACACTCCACTACACTTCACTACACTCCACTACACTCCACTACACTACACTACAACTACACAACTACACTCCACTACACTCCACTACACTAAATCACACTACACTACATTACACTACACTACACCACACTCCACTACATTACACTACACTACACTACACTACCTTCCACTACGCTTCGCTACATTACACTACACTACACTCCACTACACTACAAGTACAGCTACAACTACACAACGACACTCCACTACACTACTCTCCACTACACTAAATTACACTACACTACAGTACATTACACTACACTCAACTACACTACACTACACTACACTCAACCACACTAAATTACACTACACTTCACTCCACTACACTACTCTCCACTACACTAAATTACACTACACTACAGTACATTACACTACACACCACTACACTACACTCCACTACACTACAACTACACAACTACACTCCACTACACTCCACTACACTCGATGACACTGCACCACAGATAGACAGGTAGACAGCTAGACAGATGAAGGAGGGAGGGAGGGAGAGAGAGAGAGAGATAGATGGATAGATAGGTAGGTAGGTAGATAGTCAGAGAAAGAGAGAGAAATAGTGAGAGAGATCAATCACCTTTCGCTCCATCAGTGGCTTCGCTCTGCCATCCCTGATTCACAACAACCAACCTCTCCTATAGGTTTCCTATTTTTGAAACTTCCGCCACCGCCTTGTGCGGTACTACTGGTAGTACGAGGGTACCCCAATAGCTGGATGGTTTTTAGAAATTCCACGAAATTCCTGTTCAGATGGATGAGTTGAGGATACCACCGCTGTTAGGAAACCATCATGACACCCTAAGATAGCTAAACCATGATGATATGTTAGTAAACCATGTTTAAGATGGAAAAATCCTGTTAAGATACCCTAATTATATGATATGTTCTTTTTTTCACGATAGATTTAAAAAGTTGTTCACAAAAAACAGTCGACACTCCGACTTCACCGGACAGTTTTTGCGTTGTTGCGCCGCAGGCCGTCCTGCAGATCTTCCAGAATTTGGCCACCTTCCAGGGGCAAACCAAAGGCATGGCCCTAAAGGATGGTGGACTTCAGCGGCTGATGGTCACCACGAAATGGATAGATTTGGAATGCGACCTGGTCTGCCTTTGATGTTGAAATAGAAAGATCGCACTTAGATTTTTTCCAGAAAAGCTATGTACAGTACAGTAAATAAATTCCATAAATGTAAATAAGCTAAATGGAACTGCATTAATACACATAAGGTATTTGGTATCTGGGTCTTCGGCCCCTCGGCCCCTGGCTCAGTGTGAAAGATGGTGATTTCACCTGTATATCAACAGGTCCCGAGAGAGAGAGAGAGAGAGAGAGAGAATGTCAAGCAAAGACAATATAATCCCTTTCCCCTAATACTAAATGCCGCCCCCCCTAATAATAAACACCTCAGGTAGTTTTTATTATTAGGGTGTATTTTTTTAAGGGAACCCTACTAATGAATTTAAAACCTTAATAATACAAACTATTTTTCCGGATTCAAAATCAATTGAATTTCCTTTTTTAACGCGATTAAAATATTGCCAAAAATTGGTTTCGATGCGGACCCTAATAATAAATTAAAAGCCCTAATATAAAAAACTAAAAAAATCGGACGGACCCTAATAATAAACACCCTGGGGCTGACTAGTTTTTATTATTAGGGGTCGAAACCCACAAATGGCAGCTTTATTTTTAAATTGTTTTCTAAAGGGGGCCAATTAAAAGTCAAATTGGCCAACCTGAAATTTTCCAAACTGGGAGATGGACCCTAGTTTTTAGTATTTGGGGGGGGTAGTAATAGGGGGAAAGGATTATGGGAGGAATATGCTTTTGTAGGTGGGAGCTATTGTTTGCATTGTAACCCAGTGACTTTCGGCGAAGGAATGGAACATAAAGATGCTTTTGATATGCCTATCAGGCCTGTCATCTCCACAGAGCCCCAGTTCAGCAGGTCAATGATATATATATATATACAAATTATTTTATATAAAAAAAAATAGTGTATATATATAATATACTATAATTATATATATATATATGTGATATACTATAATTATATATTTGTAGTATAATATAATTATATGTATATATTTATATATACACATACATTTTTAAATATACACACATATGTGTATATATATATATACATATGTATATATATATATATACATATGTATATATATATGTATGTATATATATATATATATTAACACTTTGTAAAGTTTGGTGAAGGCCTCCCTTCGAAAAGTCAGTCGCAGTTTTTTTGTCGCTGCCAGATGTTTTCTCCGAGCTGGATGATGCTGTGCTGAATATCTTGGAAATTGCAAGGTGCGGGGATCGTGCTGTCGAAATTGGGTACCTCAACGATAAATAAAAAGAACCAATACATGATCTTTGTCTCTCTGCATATATACACACATTGTCTTTTTCATTACTGTAATTTCTCTATATATATATATTTATATGTATATATATATATATTGTATATATACATGTATTTTGTATATGTGTGTTAATACGATAAATGATAAATACACATGATAAGTGACATTTAGCCGTTGTTGTGCGGCACCAGTCGCAGCTCCAACAAGAACACGTTCCCATTTTGCCTCAACATACCCATGCAATAGTTTGTGTTCGTCTATACACATGACATATATACCCATTTATGTAGGTTGTATCCCAATATTCCATTATATAATCTTGATTTCAATGACTACAGATCACGTGGAGTAGACGCTCAGAGACCTTCAAACACAAGTTTAATCGTGAATATCAGAATATCTGATCCCGTCGCTCCCCCACGAGACCCCCCGAATATGTTGGGTCCCAGGAATACCCCTCTACCTTGTATTTTGCGGATATTTGGTGGCTCTTGGCATATCTACCCATGCAATGCACATACTAAAGTCAAACTCCCTACCTGCGACCTGTTCCTACATATAAGATATAATCCCTTATATACCCCTGATAAACCATCTTGCTATATCTTATGCCTGTATACTACTTATAAACGATCTACATGCTATAGATTTACTATCTATGCACTGTCTACATAAAAACTACATAATTACTATCTGAATACTATCTAGAGGCTATCTTCAGGATCTATTTACTATCTTCACACTATCTATATGCTACCTATATTCTGTATTGTATATTTCTACTACCGATCTTATATCTGTACTTTCTTATGTTTCAAATATATATATATATATACACACATTATACAGTGCATACCTACACATACCTGGTATCTTATACTGACTTGTGTCAATATAGCCCTCACACACCGGACCGCACCCACCCACAGGGAGCGGGGGGAGGGGGATGGAGAGAGAATCCCCACTACATATACCCACTTATATACCTACTGTATATGTCATCATGTGTATATATATACTGTATGTATGTATATATATATATATTTATCTATCTATCCTTTACTTACATACCTACCCCACAATGGGGGAGGGGGAGATCACTGGTACCTATATACCTATTTGAGCTCATACATATCTATATATTCCTTAAGCCTCCATTTGGGTATCATCACTACCTTTGTGTTATATATGATCACATATCCTTATAGACCCCATGGATCTGTAGACGTACAGTGTTCCCCCATGGGCATATATGATCACCTATTCACAGGTGGGAGGGGATCCCATATACTTACATACCCCCGTAGTTACATACCCACCCCCACCCACCCATAGGGTGGGGGTCGAGGGGTACTGACATAGCCACCCCCACCCACCCACAGCGGGTGCGGGGATCATCTCTACCACTGGACCTGTAAACCCATACCCTTTGGGGAGGGCTGCATCATATAGACTCACTTATGATCATTTATGTAATTTGTATCCTATTCTATATTTTTGAATATGTGTATATATATATATACGTATATATAATATATATAATATATATATTTTTGAAATATTTGATATATAATATATCATTTTTAATATATAATATATAATATAACTTGCTGACCACCTATCTCCACAACATCCCAGCCACTCGTTCCGCCGTTCCCGGGCTCCCGGAATCAGCGCAACGCCCCATCCATGGCGGAGCTGAAGTTCGGCGAACCCGAGTCCTATGCGGAACAGGATCGCCCGCTGGTTGTGGTTGGGATGTCATCGCCAACAGACATCTAATATAGGGATATTATTGGGTTACATAGTGAGGCCCCAGTTCGATAGCTAAGTTGGTGCACATAACTCCAATATAAGTAGGACTTATGGTAGATATATCGAACTAGTTGATGGGGGTTATAAACTAACAAACATAACTGGGGGGTACCACATTGTATAAACTGGTGAATATATTAGATAGATTTAATTTAAGCATATATCTATTGATATAATAGGGATGCCTAAATATACATAGACTTCATAACGCATGAAAAAACATCTAATATCTGGGGATATGATAGGAATTTAGATAAATAAGTGCAGGTTGATGATAGATAATAGATAATGGAGATATTACCATCTGGTTATTTAACATAGCCATGGAAAATGGCCCATTTATAGATGTTGTTTGATGGTTTACCTATTAAAAATTATGATGTTCTATCGCTGCGTTAAATAACCAGAAGGTATTTTAATTAATGGACTCAGTGGATTTAAGCATCTAATCATGGGGATCATAGATGTCCTTTTCCCATTGGTTGCTTGATTAATAGAGGGGTTTGAAGAAACCCCTGTAAAACAACAGGTAAATGATGATAGATGGTATACCAAACCGGCCCATCTATTTTTTTACCAAAAGGATATTATTGATGGGGATATGATGGGAATTTTGATAGGTATATAAGTTTAGGTAAGCCATGATAGATTCTTCATGAAAGCCCAAGTGACATTGGTTTAGCTATTGCAGAATACCAAAACACATATCTTATCTGCCCATGTTTTTTTATTTAATGAACACCCCAAATCAGGCAGGAACTTAACAAATACATTCTCTGGTTTTCCAGTCATGGGGGCCAGACACCGATGGTCGATGTGTTGGTGTAGTGGCAAGGCAAACATGTGTTGGTTACCCTTGGGTAACCAAGGAACACTTGAACATTCAACATTTAGTCGATGATTTTCCCATCAACAAAAAGGGGATTCAACAACTAATGACACACATTTTTTTAAAGAGAGAAGGACAGGTTGATACATGGTTCTCCCTGCAACTAGCAAATAGATAGTATCTACAGTTACGGCCCTTTACCCGTTATAAGTACTAACAAAACCCCATATCTGGAATGTATAATCCAATAGAGATAACCAGTTATAACCATTTGTAATTGGCATTTCCGGCCACAACTGTGTAGATGATGTTCCCATCAGCACCTCCATTGAAAAAGGGGATTATCCAGCAAACCATGTTTGATTTTCCACCATGGCCAGGCCCTTTTTGGTGAAACTTGTGTCTTCCCTCCACTCTGAAAGATGCTGACTAAGTCCCTGATGTTTTCTTAACACAAAAAAACTTAATGGGGGTTTCCATAAATGGGGGGTACCCCAAAATGGATGGTTTGTAAGGGACATTCCGAAAATAAAATGGATGATTTAGGGGTAATATCCTTGTTATATCCTATTATTACAGAATTTCGCAGTGTTTATAGCTGGTGGTGATTTTATCCTTTTCCATTGATGGATCACTTTCCAATGAAATATTCCATGATAAACCCCATTTCAGAAACTTATTTTCAGTTGCCACACAATACCCAATTATTATTAAATTATTTGACCTCTCTGTTGATTGTTCATTTCCATTATCCCTATCATATATCATCCCCGCTGATGGTTATATAAATTCATTTACCCTCTGGTAAACTAACATAGCTAGTGAAAATTGTCATAGAAATAGTGGATTTACCCAGCTATAAAATGGTGATTTGCCATAGTTACGTTAGTTTACCAGAGGGTACATCCCATGAAAAGACAATTCTGTTGGTGCTACCCTATGAAACCCCCATGTTTTTCATGGTTAACTCGCAATCTTTGATGGTTAAATCCACTTGGCTGTTTATTTCTCCACATGTTTGATGCTTAAATTCACATTTTTGATGGTTTCATGGTGGAATCACGTATTTACCTATACTGGTTGGTGGTTTGGAACATTTTGTTTTTTTCCATTCAGTTGGGAATTTCATCATCCCAACTGACGAACTCATATTTTTCAGAAACCACCAGCCAGTATATATTTACCATTACTTACCCATTATTTCCATGGTGATTCCCAGTTCGCAGTCCCTGTTCAACCAGAGGGTTTTTTGCCTCACCTCCCTATGGAGTCCCCTCCCGGTGAGCGACAGCTTGGCACCGACGCAATCACCGGTCTACGGTCTAGATACAAATGGCAGAAAACCAAAGATACATGTTTTGAACTCACTACATCTATCTATAATATATGGGACAATCTTTCCCAGTGACTAATATTTTTCAAGATGGTTGAAACCACCAACCAGATATATCTATATATCTATAATTATATATATATATATATATTTTTCTGTTCCTGGGGTTTGAGGCCCATTTCCAGGACTTTCTCGATAGTTGCAGGGCCATGTCCAAAATGATCAATGTATCACCCTTGCAACCTGAAAAAACATGCCGTTGGAACAGGAACGATGTCGTTGGTACCTGACTGCCATGGCCGTTCTGCAAACCTCAGATGGAACAGTTGGATAGCTGTAGATCATGAAGACAATATCCTGGACAGATTTTTCGGATGTTTTTATTTTTTGGGGGGGGACTTCTACACATTTACGTCCAGCGAAACGCCAAATTGTTGGTTATTGTTTTGGGTAAACCATTCCATCTGATCCGTTTTGGAGTGCCAATTTTTCACCAGTCCCCACATAGCATAAGCGTAGCTGCATGTCTGTCAGCATCACACGAAACCGGCCTAGATCAAATTGGCCTTGCTTCCAGCAATGGTATCTGCGGGCCAGACTCATACAGTCCTCCTCCGGAGCGATGGCTGTGCTGTAGCTGTCGGGGACAATGGAATGGGACAATGCAACATCCCACCTTTGGAAGAAGGACTGGCGGCATACACTCAGATCTCTGCAGGCTATGTCCATATACAGCGCTTCTCCGGAGTGGTGGTACTGCTGTTGCCCTTGGAGGCAATGGAGATGGACAATGTAACATCCCAGCATTGGAAGAGGGAATGACATATACTCAGATTTCTGCAGGAGTGCATCATACAGTGCTTCTCCGGAGTGATGGCATTTCTTTTACCATCGGAAAGTACATATATGGACACTGCAACATCCCACCTTTGGATGAGGGGCTTACATACACCCAGATTTCTGCAGGCATGGATTATACAGTTCTTCTCCGGAGTCATGGCAGTGCTGTTGCCGTCGGAGAGAATGAAGATTCATTGTTTCCGACAGCAACAGCACTGGCATCCCACCCTTGGATGAGGGGATGACATAAACCCACATTTCTGGAGGCTGTTTTCATACAGTGCTTCTGCGGAGTGATGGCAGTGCTGTTGCCGTCGGAGACAATGAAGATGGACAATGCAACATTTTGTCCTCAGAGCCGGGATTTTGCTACATCAGCGATATAACATGTGACCGCGATTTAGCTTTGCGACTCGACTTTGTGTGCAGCGGATGGTGCAGAAAAACGCTGAGATTCGCTCCACGGTCGGGGAAGAACGCCATGTCGTTTGACGGGCCACAAGGGGGGTCGATTCGGCCTGGGAGGCACTGCTGAGGCGATTCAAAGTAGTCGTAGCACCTGACAGTGTTGAAATCCTGGTCGAGCTGCGGGCTGTTGGTTTGTAGCCTGAATATGCCTGAATGGACCTAATATTAGGACGTTCGCGTCAGCGACAGAGCTATGTTTTCAAAATATTTTTTTAATGATTTATTTATGATATTTTTATGAATGCAATTTATGATTTTTTTATGATTTTTTGATAGGTTCCAAGGGTTTTGGCAAGGTTCCAGCCTCCAAGTGGTGCAAAATGCAGCAAAATCAATGGTGTTCCTTAGTTTTTCAAGGTTTCACAAGCAAAATGATGGAATTCCAGCAGTTTTTGCTAGTTTTGGAAGGTTTTGGCAGGAAACCAGGTGGAAATCATAAAAAAATCATAAATTTTATATAAAAATTATGATTTTTTTACGATTTTTTATGATTTTTTTATGATTTTTTTATGGTTTCCAAGGGTTTTGGCAAGGTTCCAGCCTCCAAGTGGTGCAAAATGCAGCAAAATCAATTGTTTTCCTTAGTTTTTCAAGGTTTCACCAAGCAAAATGATGGAATTCCAGCAGTTTTTGCTAGTTTTGGAAGGTTTTGGCAGGAAACCAGGTGGAAATCATAAAAAAAACATAAATTTTTATATAAAATTTATGATTTTTTTTAATGATTTTTTTATGATTTTTTTAATGGTTTCAAGGTTTCACCAAGCAAAATGATGGAATTCCAGCAGTTTTTGCTAGTTTTGGAAGGTTTTGGCAGGAAACCAGGTGGAAATCATAAAAACATCATAAATTTTATATAAAATTTATGATTTTTTTATGATTTTTTTATGGTTTCCAAGGGTTTTGGCAAGGTTCCAGCCTCCAAGTGGTGCAAAATGCAGCAAAATCAATGGTTTTCCTTAGTTTTTCAAGGTTTCACAAGCAAAATGATGGAATTCCAGCAGTTTTTGCTGGTTTTGGCATGAAACCAGGTGGAAATCATTAAAAAATCATAAATTTTATAAAATGTTATGATTTTTTTAACGATTTTTTAATGATTTTTTATGGTTTCCAAGGGTTTTGGCAAGGTTCCAGCCTCCAAGTGGTGCAAAATGCAGCAAAATCAATGGTTTTCCTTAGTTTTTCAAGGTTTCACCAAGCAAAATGATGGAATTCCAGCAGTTTTTGCTAGTTTTGGAAGGTTTTGGCAGGAAACCAGGTGGAAATCATAAAAACATCATAAATTTTTTATAAAATTTATGATTTTTTTACGATTTTTTTTACGATTTTTTTATGATTTTTTTATGGTTTCCAAGGGTGTTGGCAAGGTTCCAGCCTCCAAGTGGTGCAAAATGCAGCAAAATCAATGGTTTTCCTTAGTTTTTCAAGGTTTCACAAGCAAAATGATGGAATTCCAGCAGTTTTTGCTAGTTTTGGAAAGTTTTGGCAGGAAACCAGGTGGAAATCATAAAAAAAACATAAATTTTCTATAAAAATTATGATTTTTTTACGATTTTTTTATGATTTTTTTATGGTTTCCAAGGGTTTTGGCAAGGTTCCAGCCTCCAAGTGGTGCAAAATGCAGCAAAATCAATGGTTTTCCTTAGTTTTTCAAGGTTTCACCATGCAAAATGATGGAATTCCAGCAGTTTTTGCTAGTTTTGGAAGGTTTTGGCATGAAACCAGGTGGAAATCATAAAAAAAACATAAATGAAATATACCAGTAAATTGAATTCATAAAAAAATCATATATTGAATTCATAAAAAAATCATTAAAAAAACTGTAAAAAAAATAATCCTTGATTTTGGGCTTCTCGCTAGTTTTGAACGTCTTAAACCTAATACCTGTGATCTGTAATAAGTCATCTCCTCATTAAAACACCCATTCCCGGCCATGAATACCGTCTGGTAAACTTTCACATAACTATGGAAAATCACCATTTTATAGCTGGGTAAATTCACTATTTCTAGTCAAAATTGGCTAGCCCAATCCTTGGATGGTAACACTGGACTAAGTCATATGTTTTTCTCCAGGTCTTTCATTTTTGATCCCCAAATGTATACACATGTGAACTATAGCTGATTGGTGGTTTGGAACATGAATTTTATGACTTTCCATTCAGTTGGGAATGTCATCATCCCAACTGATGAACTTTCAGAGGGGTAGGTATACCACCAACCAGTATAATAATAACAATAATCACACTAGTAATATTAATAATGATGTATGTCTACGATGTATACACTCTATATTTTAATAACATAATATGATCCATATTTTAATACAGGGTTTGCGCCAAAACAAGTATTCGTTGGAGATTATATCACCAATCTTTGGGTGATGTGAACATTTAGGACATTTACCAACCCCTGCTAAACCCCAATGGTACAATGTGGCACCCCCCCAGTGATGTGAACGTTAGCTTATAAACCATACAATGTGGTACTCCCCACTTATAAGTTGGTTTATTATAACCCCATCAACTAGTTCGATACATATCTACCATAAGTCCTACTTATCGTAGTTATGTGCACCAACTTAGCGATTCCGAACTGGGGCACCTCAATGGTTTTTGAGGGCTTTAAGGGAAAATCGAAACCGGAAACCATAGATTATATCACATTATATCATCTATAACTATAGATATATCACCTATAAACCATAGTTGATGGGGTTAATGTCAACCCTGGATTAATAAACCCCTAGGCCATTGAATTGGGGAGGTACCATTTAAGTATCAAATCATGACTATTGGGGGAATACCCCCTAATTAAGAAACCATGGTTTATTAATCCGGGGTTGACATTATAGTGGGATATGAATGGAACATCGATGGGATATTAAATGGCATACCAATGGTGTATAGATGGAATATCAATGGCATTAGAATGGTTTTACCCAGATAGATGGATTTTTTATCCAGATAGATGGGGGATACCACCAACCAATATCAGGTGAACTCGGTAAACTCTGCCAGGAGCTCTGGTGGGACTTGGCCAAGGCCTTCGTCGTCCCGGTGCCGCTGACGGTCTCCGAGTTGGAGCCGCACAAGCAGCGCATCTGCCGCCCGGGCTGGGAGGAATGGCCGGGCTGAAATTTTGACGCTGGGGCCACAGGAAACCATGGGAAAATCACTGGAAACCATAAGAAAAGCATAGGAAAATTATAGAAAACCATAGAAAAACCATGGGAAAATTACTGGAAACCATGGGGAAGTAGTGGAATCCCACAGGCGAAGAAACATGGTGAGTTTCGAGATTTTTGTTGCTGATGTTAATCTAATAATTATATATTATAATAGTTAAGGGCCATGGGATGAACCAACTCCAACTGGTTGGTGAGAAAAAAATATCACTTCAGTGAGGTTTGTTTTTCGCCAGTTATACTTGTTAAGGGCTATAAGATCTAACAGTTGGGTTATTTTCACCAGTTCTGAAGTGGATCCTCCGAGCAAGGTAAGACCAGTTATGAGTTGGTTTAGAGACCCCATTGACCATTACGATGGGTAGTTGACAGTTCGACCCCGGCAGATAGGCGTTGGAAATTTAGTTTCAACTAGAACATGGCTATTCTCAGGGGTTGGACTGGGGGTGGGCTCCTCTTGCTTAAGTGAAACGGTTATTTTCAGGGTCTATGTTAATTTACCAGAGGGTACATCGTTATAATTACCAGAAACTCTAGTTGTTGGAGTATCCAATTTTGTTTTTCGAATGGTGACCCCAACTTGTAAGTTGGTTTCCTACACGAATAACAAGGTGTATTGTGAAAACTGGACGTAAACACGGTGGATGTATACACTGTTGATGGTTGAATCATCTTGAATCACCAACTTTGAACGGACTGCTCGCGAAAGGGCCATCCAAAATGTGAGTTTGAAAGAGAAAAACCTTCTCTGACTATTCACCAGTAATTAACCATGACAATTAAACATGACAATTAACCATGATAATTAACCATGATTTGCCATACTAATACAACATCTGGTCACGTGGTTTGGAACATGCATTTTATTTTTCCAAAAAATGTTGGGAATTATCATCCCAACTGACTTTTATACTTTGCAGAGGGGTTGAAACCACCAACCACAGTGTTGGATGTGGTCGGAGTTCGCTGAAGGTTTTTTTGTTGCGAAGACGTGGGAAACCCCAAAAGTCTACAAAGTGGGGCTCCAAAACGATAGCTGAGTTGGTGTGTAAAGTGAATATTTCTTTTATGATACTTGCAATTTGTAACTATTGATAAACCAACTTAACTATCTAGGGGGTCCAGCATTGTAAATTTCCAAAAAAATGAGATGATTTGGGTAGGTGAGTGACTTGGGGGTTCAGCTTCAGCTTCAAGGAGGAGGTCTTCCTTGATACGCGTCGTGAAAATCAATGACCAAACATACCCTCTGGTAATTTGACATAGCTATTGACAATTGCCATTTATAGTTGATTTACCCATTGAAAAATGGTGGATCTTTCCATAGCTATGTGAAAGTTTACAAGGCCGGGTAGCCAAAAAATGATAGTTTCAATCATTCAATGTTGAAACATGGTGAGTTTCTTCATTCGAACGGGGCTAGGAAGCTCGTTCGAATCTTTATTTGGATGGGATCGTGGCATGCCATAGGTATGCCATAGATATAGCTCCGGGAAGCAAAGTTGGGGACCCCGTTCTGAACGGGGATCTTAAGGGGACAGCTCAGGTAAAACCTACAGTCCAGAAGCAACAAGCGGGATTTAGCTGACATTGAAACTTGACCAACTATTTCACAGAATGCTTCCAGTTGAATGTCTTGAATGTTTTGGCAGAGTTGAATGCTATAAGGTTTGGCTCGGGGCAGCTCCCCAAGCAAACTGCACAGATAGGCGCCAAAGTGCGAAAACATTTCCACTTTAGTATCAAATCGCATGCGGTTTTTTCACGCTTCATGTGGAATGGGTGCAGTGCTGCTGGCCCAAGCGTGTTGTCACCTGTCAGGATCGAACATGTAGATCGCAAGTGCATCCAAGCAGTTCCATGGCGGGCAGGATGACGCAAGCAGAGGGGATCGAAAACTATGGGAGATGATTTCCGGTGCTTCCCGTTGTGGGACTCCGAGTTTCGTCCGAAACGAAGAGCCAGGGAAGCAGGAGGGAGCCACGCAGCGTGGCCACAGCACAGAGGTGTCCTTCGTAGCATACCTGGCAAGAGACGATGTGATTTAAACAGCCTGGTGTTTTGTTGAGAGGAGGCATCTACTAGGCATGATAATCCACAACTGGATGGTGGTTTGGAACATTTTTTATTTTCTACCAGTAGTACCGCACAAGGCGGTGGCGGAAGTTTCAAGAATAGAAAACCTATAGGAGAGGTTGGTTGTTGTGAATCAGGGATGGCAAAACGAATCCACTGATGAACCAAAAGGTGCTTGAGGTCTCCTCTCTGTCTCTCTCGTTCTCTGACTATCTACCTACCTATCTATCTTCTATGTATCTATCTATCTATCTAGCTATCTATCTCTCTCTTTCTCTCTTTCATCTAATTACCTATCTACCTATCTACCCATCTACCTATCTATCTCATTATCTATCTATCTATCTATCTACCTACCTACCTACCTATCTATCTATCTATCTCTCTCTCTCTCTTTCATCTGTCTATCTGTCTAGCTGTCTATCTATCTATCTATCTATCTGTCTATCTGTCTATCTGTCTATCTGTCTATCTGTCTATCTGTCTAACTGTCTATCTGTCTATCTGTCTATCTGTCTATCTGTCTATCTGTCTATCCGTCTACCTGTCTATCTGTCTATCTGTCTATCTGTCTATCTGTCTATCCGTCTACCTGTCTACCTGTCTATCTGCGGTGCAGTGTCATGCAGTGTATTGTAGTGTAGTGTAATGTAGTGTAGTGTAGTGGAGTGGAGTGTAGTTGTGTAGTCGTAGTTGTAGTGTAATGTAGTGAAGTGTAGTGGAAGGTAGTGTAGTGTAATGTAGTGTAGTGGAGTGTAGTGTATAGTGGAGTGTAGTGTAATGTAGTGTAGTGTAATGTAGTGGAGTGTAGTGGAGTGTAGTCTAGTTGTGTAGTTGTAGTTGTAGTGTTGTGGAGTGTAGTGTAGTGTAATGTAGTGTAGTATAGTGGAGTGTAGTGTAGTGTAATGTAGTGTAGTGAAGCGAAGCGACATCTGAAGCTCCAAAAGTGGTCCAAACCCCTAGTTTTTTGTACATTTTCACTTCCAAATGTGCTTCGCGCCACAACGGCGTGCACTTTTTCGACATCTCAACTTCCAAAAGTGGCGCAAACATGTAGTGTTTTGTACATTTTGACTTCGAAATGTGCTTCGCGCCACAACGGCGTGCACTTTTTCGACATCTTAACTTCCAAAAGTGGTCCGAGAATGGTGTGTTTTGTACATTTTGACTTCGAAATGTGCTTCGCGCCACAGCGGCGTGCACTTTTTCGACATCGCAACTTCCAAAAGTGGTCCGGCCATGGTGTGTTTTGTACATTTTGACTTCGAAATGTGCTTCGCGCCACAACGGCGTGCACTTTTTCGACATCTCAACTTCCAAAAGTGGTCCGAACCTGGTGTGTTTTGTACATGTTGACTTCGAAATGTGCTTCGCGCCACAACGGCGTGCACTTTTTCGACATCTCAACTTCCAAAAGTGGTCCGAAGCTGGTGTGTTTTGTACATTTTGACTTCGAAATGTGCTTCGCGCCACAACGGCGTGCAATTTTTCATCTCTCATCTGGCCAGCTGGCTCCGCACCCGCTGCTTTGGCGAGCCTACTTTTCGACCCTCCGGAGACACAAATCATTGGAAAAAACACAGTGTTTCGCGACTTCCCTACCTTTTCGCGCATCTGCATCTTCTTTCTTCTTACTCTTTCTCTTCTACTCTTCTTTCTTCTAATCTTTCTCTTCTCTCTGCCTCTTCCCTGCTCTGCTTTTCATCTCTCCATATTGTCGGAAGTTTGACTTCTAAACTTCCTTCGATAATACAAGATGGTTATTGCCCCACCAACCAGTATAGGCATGATAATCCACAATGTTTATCAACAGTGATTGATACACTTAGAGTGGGGCCCTTGCTGCAACTGACAAGGATCACGTTGATTTCATGACCTCACGAGACGGGTTTGGTCTCTTGAATGGTGCAGTTATGGCCATGGCTATCAGTGAAAAAATTGCTTATTTCTATGGGATAAGAAAAAAATGGGGGTGACTTGTTAGTACTTATAACTGGTATAACTCGGGCCTTGAAACTGTGATTGGTGTTATTACCTAAGACCAGCTATGAAGAATTGCCTGGATGCTGAGGTAATGATCAAAGTTTCTTGCTGTCCATCCTAAACGATGCGCAGAAATGCAGCCATAGCTGGCAAGTGCTGCAATTCGTCAGTGAGGACTGGCGACAACGTGGTTGTTGCGGGTGACTTGAATTCGTGTGATGTCCCATAGCTAGCTAAGTTGGTTGATCATGTTACAACGCTAGGTACAGTGCATCTTCCTTCTGATTTGCAATTATAGCATATTATAGCCACAGTTAGACGGGATGATAATATACCCTCTGGTAAACTAACATAACTATGGAAAATCACCATTTTTAATGGGAAAATCCACTATAAATGGCAATTTTCAATAGCTATGTAAGCTTTTACCAGAGGGTACAACTTGTATATAACCTCGGGGGCGCCACCTGTAGAACATCATGTATCAGAAAGGAGGGTCGCCTTGAGGCAGCAATGCGATTTCTCACATGTTGTAAACCACAAATCATACCATTTGGTTATTTAACATAGCCATGGAAAATCACCATTTTATAGGTAAACCATCTATAAATAGGCCATCTATACCATGGCTATGTAACAAATAACCAGAGGGTATATATATATATATAGTCTAGACCATTTATACAGGATTTCCATGGTTGACAGACTACAACATGTTGTATCCATACACCATAAACCATAAACAGATACCATCGATGATACCTGTTGAAAAAAGGGGTTCCTATGGGATGGATGACGCAGAAAAAATCCCTGAAATTTGACCATGGCTTTTATGGGTTATTAGTCCCATGATCCCCATATGTGCAATAAGTTCATTGATTTTGTCTTAAAAGATTTATACTGTAGATGTTTTTTGCTACAGGCTTTCGACTCATAGCCATATAACCTATCCTCTGGTAAACTATCAGAACTCTGGAAAATCACCATTTTTAATGGGGAACATCCACTATAAATGGCCATGTTCAATAGCTATGTTAGTTTACCAGAGGGTATCTGTCATACATCATATAGTTCCCAAAAATCACAATATTTGTATATATATATATATATTTATTTATTAAATAGGTGATGAACAGCTATAAAAACCACCAAAAAAAGATGTTTTTTTGCTACTGGTTTTTGACTCATAGCCATATAACCTATCCTCTGGTAAACTAACATAACTGTGGAAAATCACCATTTGTTCATGGGAACATCCACTATAAATGGCCATGTTCAATAGCTATGTAAGCTTTTACCAGAGGGTACCCAACGGGGTTTCTGGAAACGTTGCTTTCAACGGCAGCTGAACGTTCTGCCCCGAGGAGTTGAAAAATGATCGTGGCTTGCCACTTTGAAAAGGGCCCATCGATGGTCGGAATCCAATAGATCCAACTTGGGTGGGTTGATGGGTTTATAAAGGTTGGCTACCCTCTGGGTGATTTATGGGAAATATATGGAACATATGGTGATTTATTGGAAAATATGGGAAGTATATATATATATATATATATATGGTGATTTATGGATGTACTACCTGACCTGGTAAACTAACAGTTTGCTATTGAAAATGGTCATAGAAATAGTTGATTTACCCATAAAAAAGGTGGTTTTCCATAGTTATGTGAAAGTTTACCAGCGGGTAACTTGGTGAAACTACCCACGATCACCACATGGCTTATGGTAGATATTAATCGGACCAGTTGGGATGAAGACAGCCAACAAACGTAACTAGTGGGCATCACATTGCCGGTAAAAACCCTGTTTTTTTTACTCGTAACAGGTGGCTAGCCATGATTTCGGTCACCAGAATTGGGGTTGTTGGGGATGGTGACGACTTCAGTGAGGTTTCCGGTGTTTAAGTCATCCAAGTCATCCATGGGTACCCAGAAGCTGCCCAGAAGCATCCAAATGTTGACCATTTTCGTGAACCATGGTGACGACGAAAACGGGACTTCTCATTTTAAATTACCCTCTGGTAATTTGTTACATAGCTATTGAAAATGACAATTTATAATGGATTTTCCGATTAAAAATGGTGATTTTCCATAGCTACGTTAGTTTACCAGAGGGTAAATATACAAATAAATCCCATTAAATCCCATTAAACCACCATTTTTCCTATGGTTTTCCATAGGACGTACATGAATGGATTGTCTTCAGCGACGTTTCGCCAAGGCGAAGTCTTTCGTGCAGCCATTTGCTCCCAGCCTCAAGGTGCGCCAAGTTAAGTGCCATTGGCGCGCGGCGAACCGTGGAGTGCCATGCTGAAAAGTTGGGTCATTTTGACACTGCAATAATGGGTAAATAATAGATGGTACTGGTAAATAATATTGGTAATTTTAATATCTGTAAAAATATGTTCCAAGTTTGGCATTGCATATTTAATTCGCAATAGTTGGGTTATTGATTATCGTGTCATGAAAAATGGAATGCTACTTATTTCTGTGATGATCATATAGACAAAATGGCAGTGACACTGCAGCAACGGGACACGGGCATGTTGTTGGATAAAACTGGCATGTCATGTTGGTACAGTAAAGCAAGATTGAGGGTTGCATCTAGCAACCAAAGCACCACGCCAAACAATGTGTATGTCTGTATGTCCGTCAAGATAGCGTGCCATTCTGGTACATGCAATGTTTGGCGGGCCGCTCTCATTGGTCTCCAAATATGTCAGATGAGGTCTCAAAGAGAGCCAAACAGGGCAAGAACAAAAGAGGTTTTGATGGGTCTGAGTGGACAGAGAGAGAATACAAGCGCAGGAGGAATGATGCGCTTAGACATGCAAGAGTGCAGAAAACCCAAGGAATACAGTGACTGGCTGGTGGTTTGGAACATTTTCTATTTTTCCATATAATTATTGGGAATAATCATCCCAACTGACTTTCATCTTTTTCAGAGGGGTTCAAACCACCAACCAGGTGAGGTTGATCATTTTCCCGCACATCGCAATGGGGAAATCGGTATGACGGGCACCAGATTTGCTCCCGTGCCGAGAAATTTTCAGGGTCTCATGATTCCCCCAGCACACAATGAACCCTGCTGTGGCTGAACATGTGTGGCTACCCGCTGGTATCTAAACATGGTAATTGGTAATGGATGATGAGTATGCAGGTAAAAAGCCAGCAGCCGGGGAAGAACCTTTAATTGGTAAACCGCTAAGCCTGAATTTTCGAAAGTGTAATCATCGATAAACACCAGATACGCTTTTCTTTGAAATAGGTTTTATTAATTAATTATTAACATATGATTAACATAGCCACAATTGGTTGGAATACCCAAGTGTCAGACACCAAAAAAGACAATGTTGGTAATGTTTACCATCTCTCCATTCTTCGTGACATTTCGTCACAACATCTCAGTGTTTTTGTAGTTGTTGATGGCTCAATCATGCTTAACCCATATTTTGCCAGACAGACCCATTTAAAATCCCATCAAATCCCCTTAAACCCCATAAAATCCCATTAAACCCCAAAAATAAACATTAAAACATCTCATTAAATGACATAAAACCCATAAAATCCCATTAAACCCCATAAAATCCCATTAAATGATCATTTTACCCCATAAACTCCATTCAATCATCATTTTCCCCAATGAAATCCGGATCACGGCGACGATGTAGGCTGGAAGGCGTTGCGCTTCGCATCTTTGCGACTTGGAGATTTTTCATGCAGTTTTTTGGCCATGGCTATTAGTGAAATAACTGGTTATTTCTATGGGATGAGAAACATTCTATAAATGGGATGGGATTATACATTCTATGTCTATGGGGTTTTCTTAGTACTTATAACTGGTATTTCGGGCCATAACTGTGAGGGGCTGCAAATTGGTGGTTTCCTAAGTCATCGGGGTACCCCTAGTTATCATCCATTTTAGAGATTGTCCATTATAAACCCTAAGTCATAGGGTACCCCTAGTCATCCATTTTCTATTTCAGGATTTTCCATGAATTATATAACCATCCATTTTGGGGGGATCCCCCAGTTTAGGACACCGCCAAATGGTGATAGAGGGATAAGAAAAAGAGCCAAAGTGCCATGCGCAACGCCAATGTCTATGGTACGAGTATGCAAGGGGTTGACAAGTGGCAGGATGTAGCCGATGATGATCCTTCAGTTTGAGAAGCTTGGAATGACCAACATTTTTGCAGCCCAGATGCTCCATTTATGGTATAATTGAATCTACATGACTGGGTGATTCTTGAGGTTTTGGTGTTGATAAATCTTCCATGCATTGAGAATATGGGCACTTCTGTGGTGTTTTCCTTTGGATCCGAGAATCGACAGCCTGTCAGTGATAGATTTTTTTCCATCATTTACATTCATAGACCATTGGAAGGTATCTAATTTTCTATCCCCATTTTCTTTATAATATATGGAACTGTTTGGACGTAGGGTACAGAAATTCCATGGTTGATCATAGTTTTCCCGATTGAACAAACCATTTTTAGGTATCCCCCGATTCCAGACCCAAATAATTTTGAGGTATCACCCAATTCAAGACCCAAATATGATATGTCATGATATGTACAATGTTCATCCCTGATCTTCATTGATTCCATTTCATTTTTCTTGTTTCACCCTTTATTTGTGTTGGTTTAAACACTGTTCTCGCGCGTTTCGTCGGGGGCTACACGTAAGGAATGTGCGCAAAGATACAGCACTCTGTCAGGAGGCTCCGCGCAGATGTTCGGTGCAATGGGAATTCGATGATAGACCCGTCTATTAATTCTATTATATCTTAGACCCTCCAAATCCCTTCAAAACATGGTAATTTTAAGTAGAGTGATGGGGTAAAAGCACAATATTCAAGGGTACGTTTACGGAGGGTCTAGGGATCTACGATATACCTTTTCAGAGAAATGATAAAATTGAAAAAAAATAACCATATTTATATATTTATGCTATATAATATATGTTTTAGCGGGTATACTACATGATAAAATGTGATGCTATATGGGATACGTAAGCAACGCAGCTGGACCTCCAAGATATGGCTACGACACTTCGGTGTACCCCATGGCAGCAAGGAACCCTTAAGGATGACCACGACGATCGACACGTATCTTTTACGACCTCAAGCGGAGGAAAAGAAATGCCGTATCAATATTGGGAGGGAGAATATATAGTGGTCGGAAATGGCAATGAATACTATACATCGCCATATTTCTTGCGCCGAAGATTCACGAAACTGTAATCCACTAGTGGATTTGTTATTTGTTGTAATCTATAGCGTTGTTTTTGGGCGTTGTGGGTAATCCAAAGTCTAAAACGACCCGCACCCACATTGTAGATATACAGCTCCAAACAAGTAACCTCATTATAACATATTGTAACGTGTTTCTTCATTGCACCCAAAATTGGGTGCGATTGGAGAAGATACCACATCGTACACTGTGGGTCTGTGGGTGTGATTTCCACTAAGATCCTTGAAGGTTGTGACATTTTTTCATGGTAGCTTCGGTCCATTTCCGAACCTGTGGCTTATAGATCTTTTACTCACCATTTCCATGATATCAATGATATCCCTAAGATATATCTAAAACAGTGGGTAGTAAGATCCGTGATTGTTGTTCAAGTTTGTTTTTATTGATACACCCTTCGTTTATTTGTGTTTTTTTGACATAGCTATGGAAGCCATGGCCCTTTAGTTCGATGATAAACATTGTGATTTAGCGTTTGGAATCATGGGGATTTTCCACTTCGCTAAGCCGCTAAGCGTCATAATCCCCAATCAATTCGGTAGTATGACTCCCCATTTTATAACCAAACAATAACCGGAGGGTACTTTTTGCGTTTGAGCTAAGCTTCCATCGATCTCCATCACGAGGGGCCGGCCCCTCCTACATTTCGTGGTGCCCCAGTTCGATAGCTAAGTTGGTTCAAATAATTCCAATAACTAGGACTTATGGTGGTTTATCTATAGTTACTTGATTTTAAAAACAAAATAATGACTATAGATATATCACCTATAACCCTATAACTATAGATATATCACCTATAAACCATAGTTGATGGGGTTTGAAACCAACTTATATCTGTGGGGTACCACATTGTAGAACAGGCAGTGAAGCAAAACGTGGCGGCCATCGAGTACATTCCCACCGACTTGAGACACAACGGTGACTTCCGCAAAACCACCGCGGGGGCAACGGCGAAATCGCGGGGAAACCATGGGGAAGACCATAGGAGACATGGGAAAATCAGTGGGGAATCATAGGAAAATCATGGGAACATGCGTTTTTCTGCATGGAAAATGGGACGGCAAGCAGGAAAACGGTTTTGGGTTTTTGATCGATAAGAATGGGAAATACCATCCAAGGATGGACATACTCTAAATATATCATGAGGATATAATGGGATATGCTGATATACTGCGTATATAATCGTGTATATATATATATAAGTAACCAACTTACCAACAATGTGTTTTTGGAGCTTTGGTCCCTGAAAATTTAAGGGCCTCAAATTCGCAGTTGTTCCGTATGAAAAGTGCCATTTCGAGGGTATACCGTATACCCAATTTGAAGAGACACCCATTTTGCTGAAGGATGTTGAATGGGGCGTTTCGTGAGAGTTTTTGATGTTCGGGGTACCCACCAAATAAAAGACGAATGAGCGTTAAGATGTTTGAGGTATTTTTGTGTAAAACACTCCATATATATATATTTAGTGTGGCTGCACTGTATGTATACATACATATATCATATATCTTACATGCTAGTTTTCCCGGAACATATGTCTGGCATATATGTAAACATATTTACACACATACGGTATACTATCATATCCTGGAGTAGATAGAATATTGCCATTTCAAACAATCATCTCTCAAATGGGAATAACTTTGGAATTTCATATTCCATGACTTATGATAATTATAACTTATAAAATCTTATCAATATACGTTGGCTTTATAAATCAACAAGGCACAGATGTGCCTCGAGGCACTTTCCTGTCCCTCTACCTCTTCATTGCGTTGCAAAAGCTCAATACAAAAACAGTGCCCTGGATCAACCACCGGTTCCCGGGAATGCCGTGAAGATCTTCGGTTGGCCAAAATGGTCTGGCCTGAATAGGGTTTCCAAGTGACAAAGTATCATGTTTTTTTGTGGATCTCCATGATCTCCATGTGAATCTAGTGGCATTGGGCTTTGTACCTGAAAACTAACGCAAAACTCGGAAAACTATCCATAACCATCCGATTTTTTATGATTCCCAAGAGTGTTATGGAGCGTTATGATGACCATTCGGTTAACCATCCATCACCATCCGCTGGATAAGTGGATGATTTTCTATTCCCTGGCCATGGCCTTTGGCCCAAATCACCAGGGAAATCAGCAGGGAAACAGCCACGGGATGGGCGCCACAGGTGGGGCCTCAGGTGGATGTTTGTTGGTTTGTCCCCCATAAATTACAGTAACATGAATAGTTAATTAATGATATATGGGGGGCTGTAAACCAACATATTTCATCATATTTCATTAACATATTTTAAAAAATAAGATGTTAAACTATAGTTGTATACCCCATACACACTGGAATTCACCAAGTTGTTCTTTGTCAACTCGTTTGGATCGTTTGGGGGCCTCACGTTGTATCATTTCATATCCCCGGTCTGGAAGGAACTGAAGAAATGAATACTTGGATTTGATGAAGATGATGACGTGATCCCAATATTGTTGCTGGTTGGTGGTTTGGAACATGACTTTTATTTTCCCCAATAGTTGGTATGATGATCCAATCTGACTTTCAGAGGGGTTGAAACCACCAACCTGGTTAGTAGGTTGAGGGTAGTGAATATGGACCCTGATTATATCCCATACCCATAATTTTTGTGGTTTTTAAGATATGTTAATCTTCAATGGTGATGGGTCATTGCCTGAGATTCCATATTCTTCGTTTTAGGTCCCACAGAATGTCATGTTCATATCCTCATGATCTCCCGCATGATTCATTCTCGGATCGATGAGGACTGGGACTAAATCCCAATAGTCATGAGCGCAGGGATATCGAATCATTTAGTCCCATGCTGTTGATATGTTTGAATCCTTTGGTCATCTAACATCACAATGGAAAATGATGAACATGGACCTTTTCCAGGTGATTTACCCATTAATAATGGTGACTTTCCATGGCTATGCGATGCTTGTCTGGCGAATATGGACTATTGGCCACCTCCGAACGCCAAGGAAAACAAATTTGAAAACGACTTCAACAAAGCCTTGCGCAGTGGCGCGCAGCCAAGAAAAGGTGTTTCTGGGCTGCAGATCTTGTGTATATACCCTTTGGTAACCAAGCATGACAAGAGGAATTTCCCCATTATATAATATGTATATACTAGTACATATATATATATATATAGATAGATGGATGGATGGATGGATAGATAGATTGATAGATAGATAGATAGATAGTTGACTTTTACATTAAACTGCCCATTTGTTCGGGGATTCCCCAGCTAGCCATGTTTAATTTCCGGGAGGGTATACGGTATACTTAATCTGTGTAAAAGTTCTTTGAGCATGTTGTGAAACCAACTGAATGATTTTATGGTAAGTCGAACGACTTCATTTCCTTCAGAAATAAAGGTAGATACTGGTCGGGTTCGGGGAATATATAGATATTGGTCTGGCTGGTTTCTGGGGTAAAGGATCGGTTGATACTCAAACTTTTTTCCATCGCCTCCGGATTGCGTAAAGGTTGTAAGGTCTCCGTCCTAGTGCCTCTGATGGGCTTCCAATACAGTGTGATGGACATGGTGCAGCGCAGGGCCATGCCGGGCGAGAGGCAGTCGCAACGATGGGAAGTCATGGATGCTCATTCTGTGTCGTTCAACGGACCAATCATTGGCAATCTTTGTTTCTGAGGTGATGATGACCACCGCAGCCGCTCCCGCAAGAAGGAGAAGCACCGTGGGAGCAGGTGAAATCCAGACACCCCGACAGATTTCCACGTGGAGACCATGGTGACAGATGGTGGTGCCAGCGCCGCAACATGATGTGGAGGCTGGGTTTATTTTCACATGAGCAAGAGGCTAAACACTCCGTGTAGGAGGTATGTATTCGAGCGATTTATGATCTAAAAATATGCATCCTGATATGTAAAATGATATAGTGAAGTCCCAAATACGATAACATGGGAGTTACATAATCTCAAAGATTTTCTCTGCAATTTTCTAACATCATCGACGCTACGCTCCAAGACCTTTTCTTCAATTTCAATCATCATTGATGCTACGCTCAAAAAAATATATTTAACTTTCAAACGTTGTACCATCATCATTGATGCTACGCTCCAAGATCTTCTCTTCAGTTTGCTAACGTAGGTCCTTAGGTGAACATGAATGATAAATCTAATCAGAGGAGGGATTTTCCTAAGATCCCAAATTAGAAGTGAAGGATAGTCAACATGTTGCATCATCTCCAATTTTCTTGGTTTGGTTGGAGGGAAGAAAATACAGGTGCCCCAATGAACCTCAAGTTTGTCCCTTGAACGGATATTTTTTTGTCATTGGCTAAGTCACCATCCTTATCGGCAAAACTTGGCGACCCTCTGACAATCAAACACCTCGTGTTGGAAAATCCTCCATATTTAGTTTGATGATGGCTATTTCCCAGTCAAGTTTGATTGCTGGTTGGTTCTATCCCATATGAAATTAGATCCCCATTTACAGATGATTTTCCAACGATTTCCCATTAAAATAGCAAATACAAGATGGGCCCCATAGTTATAAGTTGGTTTATAAACCATGATAAACCCCAATAACTATGTTCGTTATATCTACCAAAAACAATAGAATTCAGCCACTTTTTTTAGGCAACTGAACGCCTGAACGCGATTCGACTGGGGGCCCCATCCTGTAGCCATGTCAAAATACCGGAGAGTCCATTCCAGGTTTTTTTTTGACCGCTGCATCCAGAGGTTGGCATGCAGAATGTCAAGAACGTAAAGACAGAGCGTGTTGTGCCGCTGGCGGCGGTCTGTGTCCAGTGCGGTAGCAGGCGGAGTCGCTAGAAATGCGAAATTGTTGGGAGATCATCCGGAGATTCTGGAAGGTGGTGCCCTAGTGGGCTAAGTTGGTTTATAGATCGAATAGTCAGGATTTGTGGTAGATAATTATAACGTCTATTATTGTTAGATGGTTTCATAAACCAACTTGTAAGTGGGGGGGGCCACCACCTTTTGCGGATAGAATAATTCGGATATTTTAGGATCTAACCAAAAATCTGATAATATGGACTCTACCACTCAACATTAGGTCTGTAAAATGTTGACAAGTAGATCAGCCTGATCAGCGTGCGTGGAACCAGACTTCAAGTTTGAAAATCGCGGTAAAATCACTAAATGATCCCTGCATGATGTAGGAGAAAACAACAGGTTTTGAAGTTTCCTGCAGTTTCGTCGAGCTAAGCGGCTCAGATGTTTAATCATCCAGCTGGCAAATGAATCCCGATCATCCCTTCCCCATAAACACCCCCAGAAACGACCAGAAACCATGGTTTATTGAGGGGTGTACATGTATTTGGGACCATTTGAGGTGGTAGTTATATTTGATGGAAATCCCAATAAAGTGGACGATGTTTTACTCCTAATTTCCCTAAAACCATATTTTGATGCTTGTGAGATCCCTATTTTCTTCTGTTTCAACTGCCATTTCTCCACCAGGACTAGGTCTGTCACCTCCCGGTCAGGTGTGTCCTGGCTTCTGTAGGTTTCTACAATACCGCACCTTGGCCTCATAGCGCGACGATCGTCCCAAGTCGTTGCGTGGCGGGAGTATATCTGGGCATGGATTTCAATGATGGCAAAATATATGGGCTTTATAATGGTAAACTACAGAGTCTCAAACTCTTTATGGGAAAATATGGGATTTCATTTTTTTATCCGTAGATTGATGGGTGGATAGTTTTTGTTGTTATCTATTTGTGCCAGAAATGGTCGTTTAAACATATCATTATCAAGATATAGGTAAGGTTTATGGGTTATATATAGTTTGATGATGTTATGCACCAACTTATGGCTGAGGGTGGGCTCGTTTTGGAGGCGTATGTTCTTTCTTTTGGGCCATAGGTTGCACGAGGATTCACCTCAGTAGGTGGATGTTGGCATTGCAAAAGCCACAGACGCAACAGGGGATGATTTTCCAAGCAAGGGCACATTCTGGCACATTCAAGGGTTGTGGTTATCATTGGGAACACATTCCAAGGGGATCATAGCCCTGTGGAACATACCAATTATCATATTCCAAATGTGTTCCCAGGGTTTGGCATTATTCCAATTGGGATAATCATTGGGATATACAATTGGGATCTATTGTTTTTTTTTCCATGGGGTATTCAAAACAAATACCCTCTGGTTATTTAACATAGCCATGGGAAATGGCCCATAGAAATAGATGGTTTACCTATTAAAAATTGGTGGATTTTCCATGGCAAACTGTTAAATAACCAGATGGTAGATGTTGGGACCCTGTTTTGAAGGTTGCCAGTTGAATGGTCCATCACGTCCCAGGCAACGAAAAAGGCGACAGGCCGGGCGGGTGCTTCTGTTGGCGCTGTTTTCGGGAATGGCCATCAACCCCATCAAATCACCATTAAACCTTGATAACCCCCCGAAATCTCACCAAGATCCTATTAATTCCAAGCAAAATCCCATGAAATCAACATCAACATCACATCACCAATCACCCCCAAAATCCCATGATTTCTCCGGGGGAAATCCAGCCAGGCGATCTACGCTATCCCGGTGTCAAGGTAAAGGCGGGCGAATCGCCCTACGACGCGGCGGCGCGGCTCTGCAAGACTAGGCGGGACCGGCCGGGCAGAGAGAGGACAGATCGGCAAGGAGAATGATGACTTACCCTCTGGTAAACTAACATAGCTATTGAAAATGGCCATAGAAATAGTGGATTTTCCCATTGAAAATGGTGATTTTCAGGGTCTATGCTTATTTACCAGAGGGTAAAGGGGATGTTTATGGAAGATTTAGTGGGATTTAGTGGGATTTGAATGGGAAGTTGGTGGGATTGAATAGGGTTTTACCCCAAAAAAAGTAACTTGATGGGATTTTAATGGGCTTGAGATGGCACATCCTATTACCATTGGTGCAGGCCCCTTCTTCTGGCCTGGGGCCTGATCCATGAGCTGAAAAACCAGTGATGGCTAGACGACTTGCGTGGCTGCGGTTATTTGATCAACTGCAGTTATGGCCCGAGTTATACCAGTTATAAGTACTAAGAAGTCACCCCATTTATTGTATATGTTTCTCATCCCATAGAAATAACCAGTTATAACTAATGGCCATGGCCTTAACTGTGGGGTGGAGACTACAAGGTGATGCCTCCACAAGTGATACAAGGTGGTGCCCCCCCCAGTGATGTTTGTTGGTTTAAAAACCGAACCATAGTAACTATAGATATATCTACCATAAAACATATATATTGAAATCGGAGTTATTTGCACCAACTTAGCGATTCCGAACTGGGGCACCACCTTGTAGGTTTCTTTGTAGACCAATCACAATCTGGTTGGTGGTTTAGAACATTTTTTCCATAATATATGGGAATAATCATCCCAACTGACTAATATGTTTCAGAGGGATTGAAACCACCAACCAGATAATCACATATAATCACCTATCAGCTACCATAAGCCCACATTGATTCAAGTAGGTGTGACCACCGAGGCTTTTGACCCCGCCCCAGATGCGATGCCCCACGGCTTGGAGGCGTTTTTTTCTATTGGACACTGAAAAAAAAGTATGGCTTAATTATTAAAAACATTGACACATATATATATATAATATAATTATATATATATAATATATATAATATATATATAGTTATATACCATATATACTTATTAAAAACATGGAGATATATAGTTGTATACCAACTTAGCTGCCCAGTGGGCACCTTGTTGTGGTCATAAATGATCCTTGTGGTCAGGCTGGCTCCCTGGGCGGAGTTTGTAGAGGTCGAAACTGCCTCCTTTGACGCGAAGGAGGACGGGGTCGGGGTTGATGGGAAGTTCACCGATGAGGACTTCATGGAGATTTCAATGAGAGTTTTCATGGGATTTAATGGGAGTTGAATGGGAATGTCATGGGATTTAGTGGGATTTGATGTGTTTTCATGGGATTTAATGGAATTTCACTGGATTTGAATGGAAGCTCATGAGGATTTTTCATGGGATTTGATGATTTGATCATTAACAATGGGGCGAATGGTAATGTTCATGGGATTTAATGGGATTTAATGGGATATGATCATCAACAAAGGGGATAATGAGTATATAATCTGGTGCTTTACAAGGGCTGAGTGAGCTACAGTGAACAATTCATCGGGAAAAAAATGGGCAACTAATCAGAAGAATGCGGTAAACATCTAGGAAAACATGCTGGAGTCAAAAGAGGTCTGATGCTCCCAGACTTATGTTGCATATGGGTTTACAACGTTGGGGGCTTACATTGGATTTGTATGTTTTTGGTTGGTTTGAACATATGCTGGGGTGCATCCCAGTTCGCAACATGTTGCTAACCACATATATACCCTTTGGTAATTTGTTACAGTCGAAATAGTTGATTTTCCCAGCTTTTTTGTGATTTTCCTGTTTGTTATGTAAATAAACGTTTACCAGAGGATATGGATTTTCCCATGACATGTCCATGATATATCCCATTATATATCCCATTAAATCCCATTAAACCACCATTTTCCTATGGTTTTCCTATGGAAATTTCCATTATATCCAAATAAACCACTATATTCAAGGCATCTATACGTATCACCGTAACCGCTCGCGGACGGGCTGATTGGGATCATCCCCTGAAGAGAAAGCCTCAAAGATCCAGGTGGTTAAAAACTCCCTCTGGTTGGTGGTATACCAACCTACGCAATATATGGAATATATATACTGTTAATATATGGTTGATTTATGGTTATTATATGGTTATTATATGGTTATTATATGGTTATTATATGGTTAATGATGGTTAATGATTATATGGTTGGTGGTCGACCTACCCCTCTGAAAAATCATGGAGTTCGTCAGTTGGGATGATGACATTCCCATATATGAAGTGGAAAAATGTTCTAAACCACCAACCAGATTGTGATTGGTCTACAAAGAAACCTACAACCCCAGTGAGCGATTCATCGCTAAGTTGGTGCGTTTATAACTCCAATTTCACGAACTGGTTTATGGAAGATATATCGACAAACTTACGAACTGGTTTATAAACCAACTTTAACTGGGCGGCACCACCTTGCATCAACATGTTGCCTTTTTTGCGGTATACTCCATGTTTGGACTGACCCAGAATGGTGGCTAATACCTTTTTTGAATCTATAGACCTGGAAAAGAGCTGCATTGACCTTGGTAAATTTTAAGATTGCTGGTTTTCAGCATGAATTGGGGATGCGCCAAAAGACATAATTCCCCATCTTCTGAGTGTTATTCACATTCAAAAAACTCAAGCAATTTTATAGTCATCCCAAACAGATAGGAAAAACATTCTCATCTAAAGTAGTGAACATTCACAACGTCCATCTTTTTTTGGGGTATAGTTACTTATAAGTTACTAAACATGCTATGGTTTGAGATATGTTCATGTGAAGCTTTTCGAACATTCCCATGGCCATATGCTCCATGGTGCTGGAATTTGAATCCCAACATTTGCCCTTGTCCAAAATCACCCAGTCATGTAGGTATAACAGCACCATGGTTCGCTAATATGGGATGGCTTTTCACCAGCGCCGCGGCCAAGGAGGAGGACATCTCGCACTCCACGGGGCTTCCTTCGCGCTATCTGCGCACCAGCTTCCGCGGCCACATGGAGCCCTCGGTGAACTGGGCCCAGAAGGTGTCCCTTGGCGATGACGCGGACACGCGGACAGCGACGACGTGGACACGGCAGGGTGGGGCAGGGTTCAACGGGGAAAACGTTGTGGGAATCATGGATGGCACCAAAGTTAGATGAAACCATAGGAAAACCAGAGGAACATCATAAAAGACCATAGGAAACCATACTGGTTGGTGGTTTCAAACATGTGTTATTTTCCGAGAAATATTGGGAATGTCATCATCCCAACTGACGAACTCACATTTTTCAGAGGGGTGGGTCAACCACCAACCAGATGATGTTAGATTGGATTGATACAGAAGATGGGGAGCAAAATGGTTGGTTCACCAACAAATACGGCCCTCCTCCCCCACAGTTATGGCCCTTTAAACACTTTACCAGTTATATGTCAGTTATAACCCCATTTATGGAATAGTAACCACATTTATAACCAGTTATAACCAGTTATAACTGCTATAACTCGGGCCTTAATCTGCACGGCCCGACCGAAACGGTGACCGAGGAAGTTCGTGCCGTGTCGCCTTCCCGGCGCTATCGGCGGCGCCAAAGTCAGCTCCACACAGATGTCGCTGGCCACGAGGTATCGACGGGCGCAGAGCTTCACGTGCCATGGCTGAAACGGACGATTCATACGTGAATTCATGGGGATTCATGGGGGGGTTCACATGCCTTATGGATCCATGGCCACTGTGTGAGAAGGTACAAAAACCCCTCCAAATTATAGTAAATTATACCCCAGTCCCACTTCCTTTCAGAAGGTACGACTGGATCCATAGGGACGGTTGAACATGGTTTAGCATGATTTAATCATCTAACATGGGGATATTGTTGGATAAACATGGGGATAAAATTAGAAGCAATGATCATCGGTGGTTAGATACTACCTAGTACTTTGACTAACCAGCGCATATTTTTTTGCAGGGTATCTAAGATTGGCAATGCTGAGAAATTGATAGAAGTTGGTGGTTAATTAATGATGGTTAGGTCCCAGCTATAAACATCAGAATAGAAACCCTGGAAATTGATGGTATTAATCATTTTGGTTGGTGATTACCACCGTCGGGGCCTATGTTAGATTTGGGAATGGTGTATTAGGTATATCCGGTATATCCCATGTCTCTCAATGTGTTTGTTGTTTGATTCATATACATATATATATATATATATAAGAGATTGGTTCGTTAGTATCAAACGATAGCATTAATTATATCCTATGTGTTTTTTTTAATTGCTCTCCAACAAAGGTGGTCCAAAACCATGTTTTCACCAAGGTATTGTCTCCTGAAAAATGGACCATTCTACTACTTACCATCTTTAGATATTTGTAGTTTATATATGGATATAACCATGCGATTCTAAGACCCCAAAGTTGGTAAACCTCTAACAGATACTAAATGTATGTTTACAGAACCACTCACCCTCCACTAAACTAACATATCTCGAACATTGGCACATTTAGTTCCATAGCAAACTGTGAAACTAGCAGAGGCTAGTAGGAGAGACAGGAGAGTAATAGAATAGTAACTTTTGTGGCCAGATTATTCACCGGTTGCTAGTCGATTAGTTAGATATCCTCAGCTAGATTCAAGCAATGTAGGCCTATAAACACTTAGATTTGTTGTTGTTGTTGTTGTTGTGTTTTTTTTGAACACCATGAATATACTACAGTTATTTGCGCATCATAAACCATAGTTATTGGAGTTATGTTCACCCGAAATATCAAATTCCATGATTCATGCCGTATTTTTTCCTAGTTACCCTCTGGTAATATAACATAGCTATTGAAAATGACCGTAGAAATAGTTGATTTTCCCAGCTATAAAATGGTGATCTTCCATAGTTATGTGAAAGTTTACCAGAGGGTAAGTGCCATTAAATCCCATTAAATCCCATTAAACCACCATTTTCCTATGGTTTTCCCATAGTTATGGAGGGTAAGTCACCATGTTTCCTGGAGCTGGTCTCGAAATGCGCTATCGAATCAGTGGTATTCGAGGTTGCCACCCTTGCCGCCCGAGATCTTTGCCTTCAAGCAGGACCGTTGAAGGGGCGAAAGTGTTGATAAGTCCACCGGTTATGGATTTTAAAGGATAATATCCATAGTGTTGATAAATCCACCGGTTTTGATAAATCCATTAAATCCAATCATGTCACCAAAAAAATGATGATTTAATTGGATGTAATGGCACTCAATGGGATACATAACCAACATCAACCAATGGGATTGTATTATTTCCAGTGATATAGAGTATGAGATACATAATAGTATATAGGGAACAATATATGGGAGGCATATATCTCATGGATTTCGAACGGTAAAACTAGTTTGCCGTCTCTGAAGATGGCGTATGCCCCTAAATGGTTACTGTATATAGTTTAATAGGGAACATGAGGTTTTAATTTTAATCCAGTGGATTTTGGGTGATTTTGGGGTATACCTCATTTTCAGACAAACTCATTTCCCCAATGGGAATTTTAAAATCCTAAAATGGAGGTACGTTAGTACCATATGTTTGGCCATATTTTCTGGGGATATTCCCTGAAAATTAGGCCTAAAAAATAGGCCGTATATATGCTAGGTACCTCCAATTTAGGTTCCTAAAATGGCCATTGATTTCCTAAGTTGTCAAGTTCCTTGATTTCCACAAGGTGCCTGGAACTAGGCATACATAACATATCATGTTATGACGGTGGCACATATTGCGAAAAAGATCAAAACCCATATGGAACCGCTGTAGGTAATCATCCCTTGGAGTTACCAATTAAACATATTTTGACCCATCACCATCAAAAATGAGAAGCATCACTTATAGTTTATGTTTAGTATTAACCATACCCATGAATATAACATTATTGGTTATGATAGAACCACTTATCCTGATTCACTATATCTACTTGGCTCGCCGATCTCTAGACATGATGGTTCGTAGGGGAGTCGACTCCAGATGCGGTTTTGCTTGGTCGGTAAAATGACTAACACGGTAATGATATACAAGGTGGTGCCCCATAGTTAGCTAAGTTGGTGAACATAACTCCAATAACTATGGCTTGTGGTAGATATACAGTATCTATAGTTACTATGGTTTATAAACCGACGTTCACATCACCTGGACGGCACCACCTTGTACCATCCCCAAATGGTAGGATTCTGCCGTTGGATTAAACGCTTGCCATATTGCCATTGAGTTCGTTGATCCATAGATACATCGACGATTCAATAGCTATGATAAAATTACCAGGGGGTAAACCCATCTAAAGCTGTTTTTTCCCACATGAAATCACCATAGTCCATGTATAAATCCTATGTTATCAATTTTGTATGTCAAAAAATCAGCATTTTTTGTCGTTGAACTGCCTCCAAATAGGCAGGTCGTTTGTTGTTGGAGAACAAGCTCGGCCAGGATCTGAAGAATGAGGAAATCATCCTGTGACCGGAATCTTCCCAGGGGAGTTTCATGGGATTTCATGGGGATTCATGGGAATTACTGTGATGAAACATGCAAGGTTGAGTTGAGTGGGGATTTTTTTTGAGATGTTCATGGGATTTGATGCGAACAATCAATCAATTGGACATATTTAACATCTGGTTGGCGGTTTGGAACATGTTTCATTTTTTCCATTCAGTTGGGAATGTCATAGTTTGACGAACTCATATTTTTTCAGAGGGGTATCAACCCCCAACCAGCATATTATTAACCATCATTAACCATATAATAACCACGGATTAACCTTATATTAACAGTATATTAACCATATAATAACCAGTATGTTTGGGGAATATGTGAAATGCATAGAAATTAAGATTTCAATCTGATGAGTTTGGGTAGTTCACATCGTCCCAGTAGATGGTCGTGAAAAACTCAGCAGAAGATGCGGCAGGGCAACGAGGATTTGCCATAGGAAATCATAAGAAAACCATAGGGAAATCATATAAATCCAATGCTGGTTGGTGGTTTGGAACATGAATTGTATGACTTTCCATATATTGGGAATGTCATCATCCCAACTGACGAACTCATATTTTTCAGATGGGTAGGTCAACCACCAACCACAAGATGTTGCATTGCTTTTTTACCAAAGAAAAGTGATGACTCAGCCCAGCCCATGAATGATTTGCCGGCACAGGCGGGTTCAACCTTTCTATACATTTGCGGGAACAACAACAATGATTGAGTAGCAACAGGCAAGGATATCAAACCAGGAAATTTTGGAAAGTCTTGAATAATACGATGAATATAGTCTATGGCCAACATGAAAGGGGGGGAACACATGGGGACATGATGGTTTGAATGACTTAGCAGAATGTAAATGAATCTTAATTATGTAGAATGCGGGTACAAAATGGTATACCGGTATATTTTGGGAGTTTTGAGTATTTGGTGATTTTCCCTACATGTGAAATTGCGCAGTATTCATGTTGTTTAACCAATTTGTCATTCTGGAACACACCACATTAGCCACGAACCCTTACCTCTTTCACCATCCACTCTCGATTCAGGGCATTACGTCCACAGCTCAAATTGACCGTTAAATATGTGGAGGTTTCCTAAGTCATAGGGGTACCCCAAACAATCATCCATTTCTAGATGGGATTTTCCCTTTGAAACCATCCAGCTATTGGGGTACCCTCCATGACTGTGGAAACCCTCATATGCTGGTTGGTGGTTTCAAACACTTTTTATGTTTCATAATATATATATAGGATAATCCTTCCCATTCTAATATTTTTCAAGATGGTTAAAACCACCAACCAGTATGTGTTGAGGTATGCTTGGCTGCCAGATTGGGAATTTGAGCACTTGCGTATCCTGGCGGAAAGAGGAGGTTCATCGCTGTGTGGTTTCAACTTCCCATGAAGGTGGTGCCCCACACAGTTATGGCCGTTTATTAGTTATAACATGTTATAACTGGTTACCTGGTTATATAAATGGGATTATACCCTCCAGTAAATTAACATAGACCCTGGCAGATAGGGGTTGGAAGACTAGTTTCCATTACAAAGTGGTGATTTTCAGGGTCTATGTTAATTTATTGGAGGGTACATTCTACAAATGCGGTTACAGGTACGTATAACTGGTAAAGGCCATACCTGCAGTTCGCCAAGGTGGTTTATAAGTTTATTATTTGGGTTTATGCTGATGAAAGCTATTGGATGAGTTGAGAATCCCTTAACCCTACTCAACGTACCCCCAATAATAAAACCTAGGGGTAGTTGTTATTATTAGGATGTATTTCATATTCGGGGGAGAAGCTGGCCCCTAATATTAAATTTTAGACCTTAGTTTAAACAATAAAAACGTTGTTTTTGATGTCAAAATCGATTAAACTCCTTTTTAAGATCTACCCAAAATATTTCCTAAGATTGGATTTCGAACCTCTTCCCTCAATATTAAAATGTTAAACCTTGATTGAAAAAACTAAGATTGATGATGTCAAAATCTATCAAATCCCTTTGTAACATCCAATCAAAATATTGCCAAGAAGTGGATCTCGATGCTTTCCCCTAATATTAAATTAAAACCCTTAATGAATATTATGAATCAAAGCTAAATTGCTCGATGTCAAAATCCATCAATTTCCTCTCGGAAATCTACAATGAAAATATGTCAACATTGGAATATTGCCAAAAATTGAGGCGCACACAATCTATGCGATTGGTGACGAAACTGTGAGAGTGATTAATCATTCTTGCGGCTTATGAAAAGTCGAGCATGGACATGCTGACAGTCGGTCGAATCATTTCATATCCGGTTTGCATGTGATTGCATTTCTGAGACCTCATTGTCCAGTGTAGTGGCACTGCACCTATGTTTATTTGCACTTTCATGTGCCTGCATTGGTGAGCGAGCTGCTTCCCTGTTTGCATCAAGACCGATGCCTGACTTTGCATGTCTGACAGTTGCACTGCAGGTGCGTTTGCACTGCCTCTATTTTTTGAATGTCTCCTTGACCTGTTTCAGGGTGTGATTCGAGCTTCTACGACCGTTGCCGCCAACGGCATCCTGTTGCTTCTTCAACTTTAATTCAACATATCCAGTTTGATCGACTGTTCGGGGTCTGTGGGAATCCTATGTGCGTATCCCAAGTACAAATTTGCGTCCGCAGAACAGGCCGATGTCCGTAAATGCAGAACATGTCAACGTGTTCCAACGAGATTCCGCAACGCAAAAATCTGCAGCAACAGGATCTGCTGAAGGACCTCTTCCATTCACAGGATTCCGAAGAAAAAACATGTCATTGTTTCCTAGATCAATCTATGGGATTATCTATGGGTTAGTAGTGGTTAATAATGATTGATAATCATGAAGTCAATCTTAGATGGGTACTTTAATCCTTTAGTCTGTTGGTATCAATGGGATTGTCTGCTAACCAGCTAAGAATCTGTGATTTTTTTGCAGGGTATCTAAGATTGGCACTGTTTCTTAAGTTGACATTAAATATCCCATCCACGTAATTCTGAACACCCAAACCATGGTGGATGCAAGGAATGAGTTTTGATGAAACCACATATTTGGGACCACAGAATGGATGTGTTAAATTTCAACGTTATGCGGTATGGATTTATTTTTAGATTCACATGGATGTTGATTTACAATGATTTACCATCATATGTCCAGTAGATTCAATATTATACCACCACATGTTTGGCAGTATGACCCGTCTCTTCCATCTTTTACCATTTCGGATCATCCCCATGTTATGAACCATTGACAAATTTTCCCTTGGAGAGTTCCCCGATTTTTAGTAGCCACTCTCCAAGGGTTTACCTTAACAATTTCTCTATGATTTGTCCATTTTTCCCATGAGTTTCCAAGGTTTTACCCGGACCAAATCACCATCTTCACAGGGTAAATCCCAGAGATTTTCCCTCCTTTTCTGGCTTTTCTGGCGCGAAACGGGCCCAGGCTACACCGCGCAAGGGAAAGCCCTGGTGCGCTTTTGGGTCCAGTCAGGCGTCGGGTCCGTCATGGCATTGATTTATAGAGGATAGGCCAAGGTGGTCGAGGGGATACGCACATATATATAATATTTAATATACTATAATATACTATTTGACTATATCTATAATATATATATATAGAGATAGATACATATGTACAGAGTATCTTAATATATTTACATGCTAAGAAAAATGGAATCACAAGAGACTAACTCATTAGCTGTATGAATTATTGTATACTACTATAGATATAGTTTACAGTTGTGGCCCTTCACAGTTATAAAGGGGATTATAACTCATATATATATATATATGTATATATATATATACATATCATTAGAAGCCAGCTAAAACTGTTATTGTTATTGTTATAGCCTCTAACTGTAACTGCTCGGCCAGTGGGTCAGAAGCCATTCTCCCAGAAAGGGAGCCTTAGAATTTTAGAATCCACCGGTTTTTCCTGGCTCCAGTGGCCCATGGTGGGTAAATTAAAGGAAGACCAAAAACTCTTCGACCGAGCCCTGTTTCAATCATGGTTAGTACTAAGTTACTAAGGGGAATCGAATCAATCTCCAAAAAAATCAGTTTCGTGAAATATTCTAATTTACTAAGATCTATGGTAAAGTCTCCATTTTGAATGGTTACCAACGTCCTTGATGGTTGATGTCCCCTTGAAAAAAATCGCTGTGGTGAAATCATGGTGCCTCCACGCTTGGTCAAGCGACTGTTTGAGATACTTTTGTTTTGTACTCTAATTCTCTTGCTATCAATGGTAAAATATACATTCACCAGCTAAAAAATAAGATTTTTGGCCGGTATCAACCAGATTCACCATGATTAATCATGGTTTTCCTATGGTTTTCCCACGGTTTTCCCACGGTTTTCCCATTGTTTCTTGGGCCCATGGCCGCCATGGCCCTGAGTTTTGCCGCCTGCCTGGTGCCGCACCAGGTGACTACTCGGTGCTTCATCAGGACGTGCCGCGGTGTTTCGCTCCGTCCTTGGCGTCCCCGGAACGGCCCTTGCAGTACTCGGCGGCCAAGAGGACCTTGGGGAAGTGGGGAACGGAACGGAACGGTGTAATCGGATGGGGTGGCCCTACAATGTGAGGCCCCCAAGATAGCGTTCAGTTGGTTTATAACTCCAATTTCACTATGGTTTATGGATAACTCTAGTTACTGGGGCGAATCTAAACCAACTTATATCTTGGGGGCCTCACATTGTAGGAAACCAGGCTGGAAACCGTAGGAAACTCATAGGGACTGAAAATCATAGGAACATCATATGAAAGTCATAGGAAAATCATAGACAATTCAGAGGAAAAACATAGAAAAATCATAAGAAAATCATCGAAAATTTATTTTAAAAAAAGCACAGGAAAACAATAGGAACAGCATAGGACAATCATGAATGGTGTTCCCAAGAAACATTGTGATTTAATTGATTTTGGTTGCTGATTTATGATATAGTTATGGCCATGGGGTGAAATAACTCCTGCAACTAAGGTTATGTCAAATATATCATTTAAATGAGGTTTGATATGTGCCATGGTTTTCTGTCACATGGTATTTCACGTTGATAAAAAAATGATTTCACCAACGATAGTGGAATAGATTTCATGGGTAGATATATAATAATCGGACTAATTGGGATATAACAGACTTACTATGATTCATTTGGTAGGATGATATGTGCACTGGTCAAGAGATGGTTGGGGCATGGTCATCAATCGACTGATAGGGACCTATTAATAACTTCATATAACTTCTATACCCATTAAAAAAGGGATTCCCATTGTGGGACTGGGATGGATGACCATAAAGCATTGTCAAGTTACAACAATGAGATAATCAGGAATAATTAATGAACATATGATGCGAATATGATGGGATATGCCAAACTTACTATGATTAATCGTTGGCATGGTTCGACCAAGATTCTTTGCGTGTTTCTTTCAAAGTTGGGGCGTGAATGCTTGGTATCTTGATTGTCAACATCATGGAGGGATAATGGAGATAATGGCATAGTTGAATATTTCATAGGATAGTAATATATATATACACATATAGTATACAATTTGGGATCTAATGATGAATCTAATGGGACATGTTTCACTATTTGCTCTTTTAATCATAGCATTTTTTCGGTTCATCCCTAATACTTCCAAAACAAAACACCCCGCCCTTGGCATATTAATCAATCCCGCTGGGTTAAAAATTCCCGGAGGTGGGATTTTTGTCTTTTCATGAAACCATGTGTGGTTGATTTGAAACCATGAACAAAATCACATATATTTTGACCATGATTTTTTTATGGTGTAACATGTTGTGATACCCCAATCTCATGTCTAATGTGAGAATGGCAGCATGCTTCCCCTGAATGGTGGTGCTCACATGGCTGGCTTCCCATCTTCTCCGCTCGCAGGACCGTGCTGTCGGCACAGAAAATGGCGAACATTGCGAAAACTTTGGCGCAGCGTCGGGACTGGGTCCGCTTGCAATGCGTGTTTTCGTAGGTCGATATCCATCTAGCAACATTTAGCCATGAAAACAATGTGTTTTTTTGCCAGCAAACATGTGACCCTCGACCATCAAACACGGGACAAACAATGAGTGTAATTAATGGATATATCATGATATATCATGAGTCATGGGTACATTATGCGGATATCAATGGTTCATTGACGCTGGGTCAATGTTAACAAAATTGTACAATGTGGACCCCTTAGTTATAACTAAGTTATGTTATTTATAAATTGAGTTGGGAAATTTAAGATCTATAAATAAGTTAACATAACTTTAGTTAGAGGATTTATAAGTTAAGTTATATATATATTTTTTTTTAAACTTTGTTATATAAGTTTTTTCATACACATTTTGATATTCGTGTGAGGTACTCATTGTTTTTCAGTTTTGCAACAACCTGGACCGAAGAGAAAGCGCAGCACACATCAGCACTTACTGAGAGCCAGAAGCTCCACAGCCAACAGTTTCAGCCAAGCAAGAATCACATATAACCGTGCGGGAAAAAACACATACGTGCTTTTTCTTCACCTGAAAAAAACACATGCGCGCTTTTTTCTCCTATCCAAAAACACATGCGCGTTTTTATTGTTTCCCTAAATGCGAGACACAAAAAAGCACAGAACAAACACAAAAAACACATCCCTTTTCCAAGGTTTAGAACCGTTAGAACCAGATCCAAACCCAGAGGAACCGACACAGCGCAAAAAGGTTCCAAAAGGAGCACTGAAAACAAACCTCAAAGACGGGGCAGCTTTTGAGGCAAAATCACCCATCATATCAAAATACATGCCAAAATTGAACTGGTTGATAGATACCCAAAAAACAGGATAAACAAGTTAACGTTGCTAACTTTGTTTACAACTTGTTTCTATTTTTACATAACAAGTTATAAGTCATGTTATAAATCCCTAATTCAGATATAAGTTCCACATGAGTTATAATACTTATAATATAAGTTGACCAAAGTTATATCTAGGAAAAACCATATTGAAATGTACAACTCGACTTTGGGGACGTTGAAACCGCTGTTTTCTAGTGGAAGTTGGGCGTGGAAGTCACCACCTCAACAACGCCAACTGAGGATGTTTCTTGGGTGTACCTCCTAACATGCCAAAAGCGTTTGAAGAAATATATCATATTGGTGAAGATATGATTTTCTATCAGACTTTCAGACTTTCAGCGGCGTCAAACGGTTGAAATCCTTGCAAATGTTTACCAATCAGCGTCGTCGCTTGGATATGTGCAACAAAAATGCGCATACTCTCTGGTAATTTAACATATAGCTATTCAAAATCGCCATTTTCAAAAAGGTAAATTCTCAAATGACATGGACCATCAACCACCATAGCTATGAATACCACAGGTAAGATCACTTTCATGCATGATCCTGCCTCGATATTTGTGCAAATATTATATATAATTATATGTATATATATATATACATAACCCAATATATCATATATATATATATATGTAAATTAATAGATATGTACCTATATATATATATAAGATCCTTTAAGTATCGGAATTATAAGCCAAATGTGACCATCATTCGCCGCAGGAGATGGCCAATCGGAAGATTGCACGCGCCGCTGTGGTGACCAACGACTTCTAGGCGCGCAGCCATGGCTGGGATGGGGACGAAGCCCTGTTGATTGATGGCTCTTGCCAGTTATAACTGGCCAAAAAAAGTAACAAGGTCACTTAAATAGTATATATAAGCTTATTTACAGCGCAAAAAAGATCTGAATTTGAGCCATCTGAAAGTTTGAAGATCTACAGTTGATGCAGCGTTTACATGGTGAAATGCTTCAAAGGGATGACTAAGGTATGACTTCTTGAAATCGCGTTGCCAAGCAGGGAAGCGCTTTAGGTATGACTTAGGGGTGACTTTGTCTAGTCCCTGTATAACCGTTAGGACTGTAACTGTGTTGATTGATGATTATTTGACAAATGAGACATGACGGTTGATTCATGATTCGCTGGGTTGTGTTGCTCTTTATCCCACATATATATATATATACCTCTATATATAATACTTGTATAATAATATATATATATATATATATCGTAATATATCATTATTAATTTTGTATTATTATATGTATATATATTTATATATATATATATTCATCCTGAAGTAGATAAACTATGCGATTCTCACACATATTCCCACTTTACTGATGTTGTTTTTGAAGTTTCCAGATTCTATCTACTTCAGGATGACTATATATATATATATATATATCTGTATCTCTTTGATATTGTGGATTATCAGAAAATTATCACGGGGTCAGTGTGAGGCCCGTAGACTCGGACATCTTGGGAAATATGAAAACTATGAAGAGATCTCTTCAGTGTTCAATGGCATTTTAATGGATATATAGCGTTCGTCGGGAGCGAAGTGCACCGCAATGCTATCTTGGAGCAGATCTCTTTTGTGATGACAACTGAAATTTCAGTTGGCAAATTGCATGGCTTTACCATGAAACGTGCTCTGAGCCGACAGCAGAGTCTGAGTGGTGAGCCCCCAGCAGTTCAGCGCCAGATCGTCAGTGCCCAAGGCCAAGAGACTGGCAACCAGAATGGCAACCAGAATGGCAAGGAGAATGGCAACCAGAATGACCAGAACACGGATTCCTCCGATGACAGCTCTGAGTAGGTGGCCTCTGTTTTATGCAGTTGCCAGGCATCAACCTTGTGGAATGATTCCCATTTGCCCAATGATCTAAAATTTTGATGCCCAGGGTGAACCTTTTTTTTGATGCGAAGTAAGCGTTGATGTTTGGAAGCATTGATGCTGTCACCAAGCCTTTTGCCAGAGCTCCCCGATACGCTCTATGCACCCATATTGCTCACTCTCCCATATTATTCCATCCATTTCCATCCAGAGTAGCAGCCTGATAAACTTGGGATGCTCTGGAGAACTTGTTTTTGCAGTCCCGAAGCTTCCATTGCGCTCCAATTACCTGATCTGTCATTCGAACGGGCCGTGAAACGACATCTCAACTGCCAAAAGTGGTCCGACCATGGTGTGTTTTGTACATTTTCACTTGGAAATGTGCTTCGCGCCACAACGGCGTGCACTTTTTCGACGTGTCAACTGCCAAAAGTGGTCCCACCATGGTGTGTTTTGTACATTTTCACTTGGAAATGTGCTTTGCGCCACAACAGCATGCAATGTTTCATCACTCATCTGGCCAGCTGGCTCCGCACCCGCCGCTTTAGCGAGCCTACTTTTCGACCCTCCGGAGCCACAGATCATTGGAAAAACACAGTGGTTCGCGACTTTCCTACCTTTTCGCGCATCTGCATCTTCTTTCTTCTTACTCTTTCTCTTCTAATTCTACTCTTCTTTCTTCTAATCTTCTTTCTTCTAATCTTCCTCTTCTCTCTGCCTCTTCCCTGCTCTGCTTTTCATCTGTCCATATTGTCGGAAGTTTGACTTCTAAACTTCCTTCGATAAATCCCTAATTCAGATATAAGTTCAACATGAGTTACAATACTTATAACATAAGTTGACCAAAGTTATATCTAGGGGGCCCACATTGTACAACTCGACTTTGGGGACGTTGCAGGGCTGTCTTCTAGTGGAAGTTGGGCGTGGAAGTCAACGCCAACTGAGGATGTTTCTTGGGTGTACCTCCTAACATGCCAAAAGCGTTTGAAGAAATACATCATATTGGTGAAGATATGATTTTCTATCAGACTTTCAGACTTTCAGCGGCGTCAAACGGTTGAAACCCTTGCAAATGTTTACCAATCAGCGTCGTCGCTTGGATATGTGCAACAAAAATGCGCATACTCTCTGGTAATTTAACATATAGCTATTCAAAATCGCCATTTTCAAAAAGGTAAATTCTCAAATGACATGGACCATCAACCACCATAGCTATGAATACCACAGGTAAGATCACTTTTGCCATGCATGATCCTGCCTCGATATTTGTGCAAATATTATATATAATTATATTTATATATATAACCCAACATATCATATATATATATATGTAAATTAATAGATATGTACGTATATATATATATATATATAAGATCCTTCAAGTATCGGAATTATAAGCCAAATGTGACCATCATTCGCCGCAGGAGATGGCCAATCGGAAGATTGCACGCGCCGCTGTGGTGACCAACGACTTCTAGGCGCGCAGCCATGGCTGGGATGGGAACGAAGCCCTGTTGATTGATGGCTCTTGCCAGTTATAACTGGCGAAAAAAAAGTAACAATGTCACTTAAATAGTATACATACGCTTATTTACAGCGCAAAAAGGTCTGAATTTGAGCCATCTGAAAGTTTGAAGATCTACAGTTGATGCAGCGTTTACATGGTGAAATGCTTCAAAGGGATGACTAAGGTATGACTTCTTGAAATCGCGTTGCCAAGCAGGGAAGCGCTTTAGGTATGACTTAGGGGTGACTTTGTCTAGTCCCTGTATAACCGTTAGGACTGTAACTGTGTTGATTGATGATTATTTGACAAATGACACATGACGGTTGATTCATGATTCGCTGGGTTGTGTTGCTCTTTATCCCACATATATATATATACCTCTATATATAATACTTGTATAATAATACTATATATATATCGTAATATATCATTATTAATTTTGTATTATTATATGTATATATATATATTTATATATATATATTCATCCTGAAGTAGATAAACTATGCGATTCTCACACATATTCCCACTTTACTGATGTTGTTTTTGAAGTTTCCAGATTCTATCTACTTCAGGATGACTATATATATATATATCTGTATCTCTTTGATATTGTGGATTATCAGAAAATTATTACGGGGTCAGTGTGAGGCAGCGTGAGGCCCGCAGACCCGGACATCTTGGGAAATATGAAAACTATGAAGAGATTTCTTCAGTGTTCAATGGCATTTTAATGGATAATGAATCAAATACCAATGGATAATTTAAATCTCAATATATCTCAATAAATACTGTATATTTTAACTATGATGATAAACTATATCAATGGATTCAATGGATCTCTTCAGTGAAGACATCATCGATTGGGTCTATTTGTTGCAGGTTGATTCTCATTGTGATTGAAGTTTCCATGTTTTTTCCCCATCATGTAAGAATTTCCTGTTCGATCCTTCCGGACATTCGAACTTTGTTGAATTGGATATGAGTTGACAGATTGATCTAATGCATCGACAGATGCAAAGGAAAACCATTACAACCACTCATTTTGAACCATGGTTTTCCATCACCAACTATTAACCTTGGTTTTCTAAAAACATGTTAATACAACCACCATCAACCATGGTTTCAACATGTTTTAACCATTCATATGGAGTCGACTCTGGTTTTTTTTAGCCAACGAAAAGATGCGGCGGGTTCCCCGACATGGATGGACGATGGAAATTTGTTCATTGCCTCAGAAAGGTGGTTTCAACGACTTGCCGAGCAAACCCCAGAAGTGTGATGCTTGTTTCTAGGTTTGTGATTTTTTTTGGTTTTCACAGATTCGGGGTGCCTATATTTTTTGACCATGGTTTGTATCATGTTGGTTTTTAATCCCACTATATCCTCATCTACAGATGATTTTCCCTTAAAATGTATCACTATCCAGTAGGTTTCCTCCAAATTTTGCTTTCAACCAGGGCATCGCTTATCGCCTCTCGCCATGTCATCCCCCATGAAACCACAGGTTTTTTTCCACCGCGGAGTGGAGCGGAGCGTAGCTGCGGGCTTCGGAATCGAATGACCATGATGAACGATGGGAATTTCAGGATCCGATTGATTGGAGGTACCTATCGTATGTAAGGCCTATTTTTCAGGCTTATGTAAGGGAATATCCCCAGCAACATATGGCCAAAAATATGGTACTAACAATGTACTAACGTACCTCCATTTTAGGATCCTGGAATTTCCATTGATGATGAACGATGGGTGCTTCAACAAAAATCAGGATTATGCAGCGGAAATGCAACCGCAAGTGATAAAGAACTCCCCGAAACATCTTCAATAAACCTTGGGGACCTCAGAACATCTTCAGGCATGTATCGGTTTATTTCTACGTCTTCTGTGATGATTTTAGATACAGCAGTTGGAATCGTTTCTCGCTTCTCCTGCATAAGCCTCGGCTTCGTTGGTTAGTAGGTCATTTGAAATCAGTTCCTTGTAAATTGGAAGCATAGACGAAACAGCTAGAAATTGTGGCAACCCAGTAAAGATAAACAGATAATGTAAAAAACTAATTTACCGCATCATGTTAGTCACATGTTATGTTATTGGGCGGATTACTGCATGGTATCAAAGATTCGCCGAGTCTCGAAGCATCCATCAGGTTCCATTCCCCTTCCCCGTGTCGTGTCGCGCTGTTGCGGCACCGTCACGAACGTTGAAAGAGGGCCGACAGACACGCTCTCAGATGGTGTTAATGGCTTTGGGAGATCGCTGATGGGATCAGAATGGAACCAAGCTCAGAAACGGAGATGTCCAAAGGAGTTCACATCGTACCATATGGTCTATTTATGGAGGTACTGTACCATATAAGGCAATATTTTCTGGGGATATTCCCTTACATAGGCCTTACATTAGCCTTATATATGGTAGGTACCTCCAATCTAGG